AAAAATGTTCTTTTTATCTCATCGTAAAAGGATAAGAACTTCTTGCTGAAGGCCTTCCTTTGTCATTGCTTGTGATTTGATTCTCAAGTTTAAACTGTAGAGAACTTACCTGTCTTAGTGCAGGACAGCTTTTAGTTTTGCTAGAACTAGAGTGGGAGACTGTTTCTTAAATAGAAAAAAGAGTTATTTAAAATCTAAATTCTCAGCTCTGGAATTTTTAGTTTTCTAACAAAATGGTAGGTTTTATAAAAGTCCAGAAGATGTGTGAAGGGTTCTTTTTGTTTGGTTTAATTTTGTGGTAAGTTCAGTTTTCTTACGGGAAAAACTGGGCTTACTTTATGAACAGCTGTATAACAGGAACTGGATGGAGGGGAGGCAATAAATGCAAAAGGCTTCAGTGTGAAAACAGAATTAGACAAGTAGAACAAACTTCTCCATCCAACTTCTTGCAGAAGTATTAGACTGTGCAAGCTTGGCTTTCTGAATTTGCATTCATCTTAAATGCGTTCTGTAAATGTACTAATGCAGTGGCAGTTGTGTTTATACAATGTTTTCAACATTCTGGTAATTGGATAACTGATGCAGCCCAGACATTTATATCTTCTAGATTTAGAATAATTCTGATTTACATTTTACCTTAGCTTTTGAAACATATCCTCTTTCATTTTGTCAGTGGTGCTCAAATGCCAGAAACCCAGAAGTCTAAATTATCATAGTCTGGCAAAAAAGGGAACCTGTCAGGATTTACAGGTCTGCCTAACTGCAAGAACCTTATAATATTACATTTACTGCTGGAAAAGTATGAACAAATTGCTCTTCATTGATAAAACTCCTAGAAAATAACTTGAAAGAATAAATAAGGCTAGAGGATAATGCGCTTGGGTGGGATTTTCAAATTACCAGTCTCAAAGTGAACCTCACGGGGTTCTCTGTAATTTTAGCTGAATTCTTTGTGTATTTCTAAAAGTCTCATCTTTGGTGATGATGATGCTTGAAATTACAAGTGAAAATGACTATCTCACTTGCAAGAGATGATGGAAGACCAACTAATCAAGAGTGATATGGAAAGACTGAATGACAATCTAGTACTCTCTGGCTCTTTCAAAAGAAGTGAGAGGGCAGTAATGAAACTAGTGGATTTGAAACAAAACGATGTTTGCATTTCTTAGTTTTATTCCCCCTCCACACATATGCAATGTGAACTTTTTACTGCTGTGAATGTTAAAAACTTTACACACGTTTGAAGGAACACAGGAGAAGCTCACAGAAGAGAAATTTTTAATGTTGCTGAGCACACAAATACATCCGATCCCAAAAGTCCTGAGATATGACCGGGACACACTTGAGAAAGTCTTGTGTGCCTCTCCTACTGTTATCTTATTCCCCAGGCATCCAGCCTTGGCTGCTGTTGGAGGCAAGACTGTAGATTAGCTGAATGTTTGGGATCTGACCCAGTACAGCCATTCTTATCTTCTACCTGGTCTCAAAAGGTCTTTCTCAATCTTTGCATTTCTATGTCTGAGGTTACCTCCTTAAGAAATGAAAGCTTGGAGGTTGATTCCAGTTAAGAATTCCTTATCTGTCTACAGTATCTTCCGTGGGGTTTTTTACACACTTTTGGATGAAAAGTATGAAAATGTGTTTGACTTGGTATTGGTATTTCTTTAAATATCCAAGACATGTATACTAAGGGGGGAAAAAAATTGACTTGCATTCTGTTCCTGAAAAAGCCAGAAGTTAAAATTTCAAGCTGAGTATAGAAAGTATAAAATGGGAGGACATCTTTTGATTTTCGAAGGAATGATATGTTGAGATAAATCTGAGGTGTTTATCATAGGTTTGTTTCTTTTTCCTTGTCTTTTGAAACTGCTGGTTAATTATCTAGTTATCAATGTCTGCCTGCCTTGATTTAGATCAAAAACATGCTTGAAATCAACTAAATTTCCTCTACTTTTATTTTTATAGTAAGTGTGCATTTTCTGCACTCTGTAGATGAAGAAACCAGACTGCAAAGAACAGTTTTTTTAAGTTTTGATTCTAGAACTGAACTCCTAATGCCCCCTGTGTAGGCATATGAGTAAAAATAATTCACTTTTAGGAAGTACTGGTTGCAACACATTCAGATCCTCAGGAGCTCTGACAATATAAGCCTTTTTTATTTGAGAGCTCTTGGCATGAATTAGGATCATAACTCCTCATCTAGGTTTTAAATTTAAATTTTAGCATAAGACCTTACCAGAGAGACATGAGAGTTGGTATCAAAGGCAGGAGCACAGGGAGGGAGTGCATCTGTTCAGGAATGTACCAGTGAAAACATTGCTCCATCCACAACTCTCCAGGATAATCTTGTTGCAGAACCAGAAAAGGTGGAGAAAATCTCATCCAGTCCTGAATAGCTGGTACCTTGGCTTTATATCAGCTTGTTGTGGGAGGTACAGATTCACTCCTCTTCTAAATCAGTCAGATCAGGAATTTTTCAAGTAATGGCCTGATTCTCAAAATTACAGATGATGGTTTTTTTGACTGTGTTGGTTTTTTGTTAGGGTATTTGGTTCTCCCACACACACCCCTGTGGAAGAGTGAAGTAAGTTTAATAATAAAAAATACAAAGCTTCCTCAAATAGTTTTGGGATATCAAGCTATTAACTGGTTAGAAAGCTATTGTATTGTGTGGCACTGTGCTGTTGCAAAAAGCAGAAGCTTCTGCCCTGGAGAGTAAGTGCAAAGCAGAAAGATCTCCTGCCTGTGCTTCTCCAGCCTGCTCAAGCTAATACACCAAGGAAGTCTGGTTTAAAGGGGAGTACTCATGCATGTGACTTTATCTACTTGTTCTGCTTGTAAGTCAGTGATTTTTTTTCTTTATTTCCCCCCCCTGCAGTTGTGTAATCTCAGACTGGGTAGCTTCCCTTTACCAGGGTGAGGCTCTGGGGTGCTCACTGCTGTAGTGCAGAGATGTTGCTGAACAAGTTGTCACTCAAACTGAGTAACAGCTTTGACAAGCTCCATGAGAGTAGTAGCCTAGAAACATAGCCCAGTATGTAATTTAAAGGCTTTTGTCTCACAGTCTTTAAAAGGGAGTCTAGTATTAAACAGGCTCTTTAGAGAGGGATTCACTGAGGTGTTAGAGATGCATATCTGGTTTTGAACTTTGGATTTGTCAGTGGCATATGGAAAATGTACAGAATTTCTACTCTATGCTGGGGCTTTTGTGCGTTTTTCTGAAGTCGGATATGAATCTGAGAAGAGTTTAGGATTCCCAGCAAAGATAATTGCTTATTTTCAGATATTATACAGATGTTTATATCTGTGATATGTTTGTAGCTTAAGCTCATACTATTTGACTTTTCCTTTTATAAGTTGTATGGATAAAGATTGAAAATGCTCTTAAATTTAAAATTCAATCAACATTACTTTCCGGCAGTCTTTCAGTAACTCAGTCACCCAGTCGTAGGAGGCAATGTACTGTTGAGTTGTAAGAATTAACAAAAGCTTTGCAAAGGGAAGTAAACTCAGACAGATAACATATGATATACTCTGACAGCTCAATATGCCTTTTCTCCAACATTGATTCGTGCTTCTGTACACAGCCCTGAAGTAAAAATGCCTCAGTGCTGTATCTGTGTTGCAGCTGACTGTCCTAAATCTAAAGTGCCAATTCATGTAAACTCAGTTCTTATTCTTGACTCCATTGTTTTTGAGGAGGAAAAAACAACACTTACTTTTACCTTTTAAAATTTTTTTATTTTACAGTGATGTTAAATTAATTTTGAGGAAAATGTACACAATGTTCTAGAGCTGGGAAACGTATAAAGCAGGATGTTTTAAAGCACTTTTGTCTATGTATTCTTGTTTGTAACATTAATATATGTAGATTCCTCCTTTTACATAGCGTTGACCTCTCAAAATGTCTTGGTTAATTTTGCCAGCACGTAGCCCCAAGTACTGATTTTTATTACTTTTTGAAGTTTGAAAGAAAATAACATTTGATATTTTAAATGCTTATGTTAAAATTATTTCTAGGACATGAAAATTGAGAGGAAGTTGCACTCAAAATCACAGTGTCTTGAATTTCTTTAGGGGACACTGAATAGTTTTCTGGAAGAAATATTTGAGTTGATGCACATGTTCATTTCTAGTTGGCAAAAGTCATGTTTTTCTAAGAAACTACTACTTTGGATTGAATTAACTTATTTGGAGGATGTTATTTTCCTCAAAAGTCATGTTGAGTTGGAGAACTTCTCACAAAAGACTTTAATACAGTGTTACTGTACCTGAAGCACTAACTTCAGTCATCAGAAATTACTTTGTTTTAATTACATAGGCATCTGAGACAGAGGTGAGAAGAAAAACCAGTCTGTCTAAGTAATTTCCGAATGCTCTAAACTACCAGAAGACTTAATTACTTCATGGGGGCCAGACTTGTGGAGATAGCATATATTTTAATAAGATAAACCTAGGAGAAACAAAGTTCTTATAACCCATGGATCGAAGCCTCCTATGAACGCAGTGTTCCCTAAGAAGGAAGGTGGAGGGAAAAAGAAGGAGGGGAAGGAGTAAGAGGGAGAGAGAGAGAAAAGAGGAAACCTTGGAGCAGGCACAGTAGCTTATGAAGTGATATGACAATAAGGGGCAATTTTCCTGAGTGACTGGATCCTGTAGCGTAAAGTAGGCAGCTTCACCCCCATCCTCAGTAACTTGGAAACTGGTAGCATTATTAAAAATGAGCAATTGTTTTAACTTCAGGAAAGAAAACCAACCTATTTTTTTATTTGTGTTTGCCTTGACAAACAGTCTTTGGACTTTGGTTAACCTAATCCAAACCTAAAAGTTCATTCCTAACATACAATCTGTCAGAACAGACCTTTGACGTAAATTCTTAAAATACTTTTCCCGTGTGCTATTATGCTTAACACTTTTACAGCCTTGTAATAAACTTTTCAGATGTGAAGGAAGCATAACATTTACATATCGGAACATATGTCCACAGCTGAAGAAATGTGCAGGCTTCTAATTCCAGTTTAGTCCCAGTAGTCTCTTAATATAGTTTATATTGTAGAATCACTGTCAAATATTTTCATTTTTATGGTCTGAAGGCTGTGTTGAATGAAGTTTTCTGAAACTGGCCTTTCAGAGAATCTGACGTCGCGTGTTCTTGTGGACCGGTTCTTTTTTATCGAATTTTGGATCGTATCTGATGTGAAGTAGTAGACTATAGGGTCAAAACAGCAGTTTGAAACGGCGATGCACAGAGTGATGGGGTACATAGTCCTGACTGCAGTTACCACTGAGCAATTAATCCAGGTCTGTGTTCTCATAAGGGAGTAAAGTATTAAGGTAATGTTATAAGGCACAAAGCAGAAGCAGAATATCACCAAATGGACAACAATCATTTTGAGTACCTTTTTCTTGCTTAATTTATTCCGGCTTAATGTAAGCGGCTTATTCAAAGTCCGTAGGACCATAGTGGAGCAGGTAACATTCAAGATGAGTGGAATAAAAAACCCAACTGTTTCAATGAAGATAACAATCCGAGATAGGTAGGTTTTCCACGTGTCCTCTGAAAAGTTTTCAAAGCATGTCCTTTGTGCAGTATTGTTATGGCAGTTTGTAGACTGGAAAAAGCTTGCTGGTGTGCTGCCTGCTAACACAATTATCCACACTGCGACACAGACAATTTTTGCATTCCTCTTGGTTCGAAGAGTCTTAGATCGGAAGGGGTGTACGATAGCTAAAAAGCGATCTACACTTATGCACGTCAGAAATAAAATGCTCCCATACATATTTGTATAAAAGAGGGTGACAGAAATCTTGCAAAGAATGTCTCCAAATGGCCAGTTTCTGGTTACAAAGTAATAAATCCTGAAGGGTAATGTAAACACGAAAAGCAGATCCGATATGGCTAAATTAAGCATGTAAGTTGTAGTTTCATTTCGCACTTTTAAGGTACAAGTGAAAATGTAGATAGCCACACAGTTTGCTATGAGGCCGAGAACAAACACCATGCTAAAGATACACCCATACAAAGTATATTTAAAGGAGTCCTCAGTGGAACAATTAGAGCTTACCATTATAATGGTACGTTTAAAATTCCTGTGATTTGGAGGTTTCTCTGGTATTTTTATTGCAACTTTTTTGAAATTCCAGAAGAACTCGCAGATCAGATGTATTTTGAACAGTGTGTTTTGGCAAATTTGTTGTGCTGTGAAGCTTCAGGGAAGAAAGGCGAGCTCTGTGGCAGGGGAGTACATCTCCAGCAGAAATCACCAGAAGGTCACTCTTTTCTTCCGAGTGCTATTTGTAATCACATAGCCAGTCGGCAAAAGTCGGAAAAGGCATCATCCGTGGCAGATGAGATCACCTCAAAGCTTCCTTAGTTCCATTTTCCACCTCGATTCAATGAAGCCATTGTAGGGCTTTCTGCCTTACTCCTGGCTGCAGATCGTGACGGCAAAGCCTTGTCCATCCGAATGTACTGGGAGTATGTGCCTTGCGAAACGATTTCCTGGACGCCACAATGTGGGCACTTGCATTTCTCCCTCAGCTGCCTTTCTGTACAACAAGTTTTTCAGCTTGCTGGCTGGCCCCATGGGGCAGGAAGCAGAAGCAGAAGGGAGCTGCTTGCCAGGGCAGAAACCGAATTCCAGAGCGTGTTTGTTCCTGCAGCCCACAGCCCTCGGCAGCCCTCCTGCAGCCCAGCTCCTTCTGGAGAGGAGAGCAGAGCGCTCAGGCAATTTGTAGCATGACATCACAGGAAGAAGAGGCTGGGCGCTGAAGAATGGTTTCAGTTTGGTTTGTTTGCCTTCCCCTAATCTGATAACGTCTCTGCTGTACCTTGCAGACTGTAGCTTGCAGGCGTGCAAATGGTCACCAGCAGAGTGCTCCAGCTGCCTCTTAACTCTTTCCATGCTTCCTGAAAAGTCCTTTGTCAATGTTGCCAGGGCCTGAAAAATCTTTTTCTTTAGTCATGAGAAGACTTTGCAGTGCCTGAATAACCCTCATGCCTTAAAGTTCCTGTTTTTCTTTGGAGATAATAGTAATTGTGGGATTTTATACAGGATTGAATTAACATTATGATTTTTGTTAGATATCTTTCCTTGTAATAGAGAACACATTAATCACCAGGAATCAGCTGAGCGGTTCTACCTAAATTCCCTCAATACTAAGCTCAGGAGGGACAAAGATACACTGTTAGGTAATTAAATAATTTCACCAGATAATAACTGAGAGAGAATTGCTCTTGGATATTCCCAGGACTGAGATGTGTTGCAGTGGGAGGAGAAATTTTTAACTTGTTCCATGTTAGAAAGTATACCCCAAGCTTTATTGCTAGCCAGAAAGGTGGGTCTTTAAAAAAAAAATACACTTCAGGGTTTTTTTGAAATATTGTGATGTGGAAAGCATTTTCTTCAATATGTAAGCACAGAATTAATACAGCAAAATGCATAGTGTACTGTGCAATTGTTTCTGGTGATTTAAAGGGGCCAGTTATCGCATATGCACAAAACAGTCCCATTAGTCACTGATTAATGAAACAAAAACATGTTATAACTAATTAAATTGTTAAGTAAATATAAAAAAACCCATCTCTTATTGCCTTTGGGGCAGATATGAGGTAAATCTCAGTTTAGACAGACTCATTTATTTAACAGCAGCTTGGATAGACTCACTTCTGGCATCAAAACCAGTCTATTTCTAAGTCTTAGAATAACAAATCTCTTCATATCTGGCTGGGTGGCATGGTTCTTTTGAAGTAGATTTTAATCAGTTGTACCTAAGCAAGGCTCTGGGCAGAACCTTTATAGTCTGCTGTGAAGAAGAGTAAATAATAGCACTTCACAGGATTTTGGCACGATTTCTTATGTAAGCCATGTCAGACAAAATTCAGAAACATGAAAAAGTGGTTCTTATTTTATTTCAAGTTTGCTTTATAGTTTTTTGTTAAATATTTTCACCTTGATTTTGAGTTGAAATCAAGCAGTTTAAGTTCAATAGGCTATAACCACAAGAAACCTTCTTGACTATTTTTGAAATTCATGCTTAATCATAAAGCATAGTGCATTTTGCACTTCTAAGTCAGCCAGAAATGAAAATGTGAGCTTGGCAGAGTCTCTCATGTGTCCAATTTAACTTGTACCTTAGCATAAAGTTTGTCTTACCTGACTTTACTCACAATAGCACATTAAATTTTGTTTCAGTTCCAGGCAACCTTGCATGGTGAGAGAGGGGTTTTCCTGCAAAAGTTCTGCATCAGGCTGTGGGAACTCTGATCTCAGTTTTACTTCCTTTATACAGCAAAACAAGGCAGGGCAGGCTCAGTTACTGGAATGAAAATCCATGAAGTACAGAAATTTGATGTCACATGTCAAAGCCTCAAGCAATAATTCACGTCTAGAGAGAGAAACTAGTGGAAATGAGTATGTCTCTCATCGATCAGTGCTTGATTTTGGCATTTGGGCGAAGGTGTGGGTACACAGAGGCAGGGTGGGACGTCTGATCAGAGGCACTGTCCATTTTACCATGGTAAATGTGCTTTAAAGCAGTTGTGAAGGGGCATCCTCAGCCTTTGCTTCATCCGTTGGACCCCCTGCCTTGCTATGGCCTGTGTTGTTGCTCCTGTTACATATGTGGATACTACTCATATCTCTATTTTAGAGTATTGTGTGTATACTTTTGTTGTCTTTGTGACTCTATGGCCCCTGTACCCTTTTGGTGTAGTACAGTACATGCACTTTGCATTAATTGAAGAGCTAAGTCGTATTTGTATATGTCCAGAAATACCATTCAGATGCAGGATTTCTCCACCTTTGAATGAAAATTTGAAAACCCCAAGTTGACCGGTTTTTCATTGCTTTCATGTTTCAGCAAGGAAGGGTTATGACTGAGCGTGCAGGCTGAGTTATTTTAGTGTAAAAGTGTGATTGGCAAAGGCAAATTGTGTATCCTTTTTCTTAATTTAGATGTAGCTGATTGTTACCAAGAAGTGTTTAAATTTGTGTGAGCTTCTCCAAGCTGAAAAGCCTGTACTAGTGCTCTGGGAGCTGCTGGGAGTCAGGAGTAGCCTCCCTTCTGGCCAGGCTCCAGCACGAGCAGGGGCGAAACTTCATTGCACACTCCCTGTTCGCTGGATCTTGTTCTAAGGTGTTGAGCTTTGTGCTGACAGGTTCAGAAAACAGTTTAGTAGACCCCAGTGCTTTAAAAATTTTTAAAGAAGTTTATCAGTTATTATGGAGAAAGAATTGACATGGTAATGACCTTGCTTATGCTCCTTCACCAAAAGCAATTTTCCTTTGGGATGGGGAGGGGAGGTAGGCAGGAGGAAGCAGCTGCAGGGAGGGCCCTGTACGCTGAGGGGGGTTTTTTCTCTGAAGGAAACAATGCTGTTGCTGCAGGGAAACGCATATGTAAGTCTGTCTACCTTTCTGGGTCAGGCAGGAATGAGTTAGGACCTGTCATTTGTTGCTAGTGCTAGATGAGCAAAACCTGCATTTCCATTAACAGGCTTCCTCTGGCTCTTGAAGAGGCACCAAAGGCAGAGTGAGCATGGGCTCCTTAAAGGCAAGAGCTGATGAGATTCTTGAAATCATCTCTAACTTCAGCAGCAAAAGATTTCATGCACTGCTTCAACCAGTTACCACTTAACTCTGCTTATATGAGTTTAGATATCTGAGTTGAGGTATCTAGGACTATTTACACCCTTAAGTGATCTTGGATTTGTGTGGCAAACTTATTCCAGCATTGAACAGGGGGTCGGAAGGAAAAGCACTTATAACCCTAGCAGTGCGCTAGTAGAGTGGCTGTAGGACACTGCTCCTTCCTTGTACCCCTGGATGCCACATAGTTGAATACTTGCTTTCATTTATGACATGGGGGCAGGATCCCTTAAATTCAGAAGTCTAATTTGAATGGTAAAGAAATATTTCACTGAAATAAAATATTGGAAGGCTTCCAAATATTGGAAGGCTTTCCAAGCCTTTGGAGTTGTGCTAACCAGTGTTGGGTGTTCCTCACCTTCAGTTCTGGTGGGTGCTTCTGAAACAGAAGTTGTAGTCAAAGGTGAAAGAAATTTTGAACTTGTCTTATGTACTGTATTTAGTCTGTGCTGATGCTACTACTAAAAGCTCTTTAGAGGAAAAAAACCAACCGCAACATTAATAGTGTTGTAATAAATTTCTACAGTGTTTCCAAGGCCAGAGTATGCACTGTTAAATGATGCACAAAATGCTCTATGTAACTCTGTTATTCAATAACTAATGTTACTGCTTTCAGAGACACATCTGTGTCATGGTGCAGGCATTTGTTCATACTTGCTTAAGCAAACTTATGCAGAAGAACTTGTGCTATCTGTTGCAGTGAAGGCAAACTGTGGCAGGACAGTATTTTCTTTGCTCTAAGTTGTTATTTATCCAGTCATTTTTATGGGTTTAGGCATTTCTTGTCTATTTACTGGAGTTCCTCCTTGAGCATGTGTATGTACAGAAAGGAATTTATTACGATTGAGAAGTAGAACTGGGAGCCAGGAAGTCTCTTTCTGGCTGTGCTACAAATTTTCTGTTCCAATCCTGGCAGTTTTCTGTGACTTTGTGCTCTAGCTTCCCTCCATGTAAGAGTTCATTCACTTCCACACTGGGTAATTGCTAAATATAGTTTGAAGTCCTTGGATGGAGAATCCTTTATTAAATAGGATCTTAAGGTAGTGAATGTGGTGAAAATGTAGAAAGATTAAAATTTTCTCTTTTTAGATTAGCTTCCAGCCAAGCAAAAGGATCAATTAAGAGACATTCAAATTACAAGTAAAAATTGAAAGAAAACCGTAAACATTTTTTCCACTGAAAGTTTGACCTTCTAGAACCAGTTTTCTCAATTAGTTCTTCTTTTACTAGCTGTGTTCTAATACACAGCAGCCAAAAATCTTCCAAGTATTAAAAAAAAAAAAAAGGCAAGAGAAGTGAAAGTATTTGAGCTGTAGTCTATTAGGTTGTGTAATTGCTTAAAAAGGGAAAATGAAGCTCAGAATAAAACTCTAGAGTTCTTCATTCTTGCCTGTTGGAAATGCTCTTTTTTCTCTTCAGAATTGTTTCAATTTTCTTTATAGGAGATATTACAACTGCTCCTCTCCTGCTTGTAGAAAAAGGAAACAATTTCTCTCCTTTTGTATGAGTTTTCAGTTTGCTAGAGTCCTTTCTTTTCCTCTCTACTCTTGAGTTGATGGAGGGATTTTAAAACCCAAACATACATACAGGAAAGGTATTTTGAACTTGAGAACAATAGTTTGTTTTGGTTCTTTGTTCTTAAAAATATGTGAATATGACAATCATACTCTAAGAAATGCCACTTTTAGTCAAATTCTAGTTCTGAAACACTTCTTCACAGTATTTATTGTATATTTGTGCGTACACAAGCAGTTTCTTTGAACCACTTCAGTTAGTTATATGAAGTCCCTTCCTGGCTGTTTCCTATACTGTCCATGATGTACCTAGTAGTATAAAGAGAAGTGGACTAGAGAGAACATGTTTTCACTTAAGGAATAATATGTAAAAGCTGATACAGGCAGAAAGGAAAACCAACGTGTTGATTAATAATTTTTAGGCAACTAAGAGGCGAATAAGAATACTCTGTTGCTTCTGGTGTAAAACCTTCTCCTTTGAAATACAAACCTAAAGTGTTGCTGTTGGGACTGTGTTAGTCATTGCAGTATCCCTTAACATAATAGTA